ATTGAACACAGAACAAGAAGCAAGCTAAATTATATACTCAATACAAATCTCATGCAATAATGATGAAAAGTGYAAAATGACTGTAACAAAAGCAGACACTTTATGAAGTAAAGTCTCCCCTAAATTCAGTATGTTTAGGCAATATAGAGAAAATGGAAATGCATTAAAAAGAGATGAAACTGTAGATCAGACTGGCCAAAAGTCTTAATGAGACTGTAAAATATTATGGTAAGTCTCTGTTTAAAACATACTCAGCCTTTGCCACTGTGTCTAAAACAGACAGAAACTTAGCAAGATGTCAGGAACATAATTATAAGTCAGGCTGGCATGGAATTACAGTGCTCAACAAACACAAAAAGTCAGCACTGAGTCCCTGACCTGTAATAAATTTTTGCTGACTTCAGCACAAAGYAAATATAACTCAAGTAATTGTAGGCTGCAGGACTAAACCTTGGTCACTATTTCATCTAAACACAGAAGAGCATCAGTTTAGTGAGGATGGCAGGAACTTTGCAATGAACAGCTATTTAAAAAGAAGTCAAAATTCTGGCGCTGCTGCTACTCAGTGAAGAAGCAACCACTTCATTTCAGGCAGCATACAAATGCCCCAGTTACAATATGCAGGAGTCATTACAAAAGTAATGGATATTTATAGTTGAGTTTATTGGACTTTCAATGTCATATCCATACAAACACACTCACAATACTCTTTTAGATTGATTTAGATTAATTAATTTTGGGGTTTCTTCCTAACTCTGAGAACGTATTTTAATAGAAGCTTTTAAAAGAAAGGTCTAAAGTTTATTATGGGGTATATTTAGAATTCCATTCAGCTTCACAAGGAAAAGATTTGCTTAAAAAGGCTGCAATTCAAGATCTTCTAGGAATAAAACTTCTCCTGARATACATAACATTTCCAAAACAACACTTGAGATTCAATTCTAGGTTTACAGAAAACAGAAACAACAAAACATTTGATTCYAAAACTTCTAGGCATAGCTACTGGATTTTAGTTCTTCATCAAACACTCCTTAGCTTTAACTACAGCAATTATGATAGTGGTAATAGCTGTTTTATGTTTGCATAAAAAGATTACTGCTGAAGTGTGCTGAGCTACTCTGGCTTGATTAAATGCATGGCAAAAATCAAGCCCTGGAACATTTACTTTCCAGTGCAAGGACATACAGTGGCATGTGATCTTCCACCTTTCCTTTTGGATGGAGTCAAGGGAATAAGGTCACACAAATATCTGTGAAAGMAAGCTAGCACGACATAAATCATACACCAGGCATCACCCTTTGCAGTGATAAATTCTTCCACAAGTTGGATGTCCAGGAGGAAAAAAGGGCTGAGGAAAATTAATGTGCCTTAAATATGATCTTCATTGTTCTGATGAGATATTTAGTTATGCATCCCTCTCCTWCTGCTAAGTAGGAGGATGCATCATGACAGATATTCTGCAGAATATTCATCAGAAAACCAGGTTCATTACAAAGCTTGTCTGCTTAACAATTTCTTATTTGTGTATGTACCCAGTATTTTGTATTTGTAGGAAATTTCATATATAAAAATTTTTTTACGTATCCAAGGAAAAACAACATGAGTTATAATTCTGCCTATATAGTTGTCTAAAGGCAGAAAAAAAAGCCTTGTCAGAAATTCAGAACTGAATGTTTTAAAAATTATTCAAAGATGTCCTTTACTGACCATATACAGATAACAAGGTGCTTTGATTCCTGTTTCTATCACTCTAAATTACTCTTGACTGTTAGAGCTAAATATTAAAAAAGTGTATCTTCAGACTCTCCATCCTATTTCTTCTTCAGTGTTCTACAAATCTTCCTGGATAATRTCCCTAAGCTTGATGTCCCATCTATTCTGATTAATTGCTGCTAACTTTTTTATGTGACTATTTAGTGAGAAATTTTAAAAGTGTGGAGGATCATAGAATCAGAGTCTGGAACAAAAGAAGTCAGGTGTTATCTTGAGATAATCTCTCAACCCTTCTACACTTGGATTTTTTTTAAAATTTTCTACATGCTACTTGAATTCCCTAGAGGACCCAAACCTACAGGGATGGTAGCTCCAAGAAACGCTTAAACCAGCCCACCACCTTTCTTAATGGGTAGAAATGAGACCAAGCACGAGAGTTTTGACGAGTTTAGAGAGTTTTCCTCTTTGTTGCAAGTTAGATTAGCCTTAGTCCTTGGRTAACACTCCTCAGCATGTAATAGCTGAGGTCTGCCAGGAGGTCTCGAACAAAACAGCCCTCTTCTCTGCAGTACATTCTTTCTCTCTATATGCAGAGCAAGAAGCCCCAGATTTTGTCATCAGCAAGCGCATTGTACAAGATTGCTGTCTTTTCTAAAAGCATTCCCTCCAGGGATTTCAAAATGATCAGGTAGTCTGACAAAAGGCAGTCTCAGCCTGGGCTGAATACAAATCAAATACATAAATGAAATTGCACCTCACTTAAATTTACTGATGAGAAGTACTGACAGCAGCATGGTTTTTCCCCTTTGCCAGGATTCATGAAATCTAACTTATACAGACCAAAATAATTACACTGCTCTTCTGTACTGGTACCAAGATGGACCTGCCGCTACACACTTCCAGATTTCAATTGGCTGAAGGGTTATCTATTAGGGCAAACTCATTAGTGGCCATTACTTTTAACAGGGATTTAAAAGCTTCCACTTTGTGTGTTGGAAGATTGTTTGTTTTTAAAAGAATTATAGCAGTAAATTGTAAATTCAAGTCTTTRGAGTTTTACTCCAAAGTAATTCTATGCCTCTAGAATGAATAAGTTATAATTCCTTTCCAACTCCAAATTACAAAAATCAGAAACAATTTCTCACTGTTTTGACCGTGGTCAAGATTTTAAACTCTCTTTCAGAGCAATAGCTTCAGAAGTCTGTGTAGCTTCCACTTTATCTCCTACCTGTTTGATAGACTATTTCACACTTATCCAAAATCAGACTGGAAAATGAGTGGTTAAGTGGGAACCAGAAGCAGCTCAGTTACTGTGGAGAGASAGAATTTTGTAAGAATCCTCACTGGAAAAAAAATAATGGCAACAGAGTTCATGTTTCTGCAACTCAAGAAGTTTACTAAAAACCAGTATATTTGCATCTGCATAAACAGAGCCATTCTGAAAATGGATTGAGATTGCTAATATTTCCCAACTGAAGGAAACCAACCAGTGATCTTCCATCCACTTCAGTTATGAAATCAAGGCAACCCACCTTGCTTCCTATTTACCCCATCCCACCCCTTATGAACTATTTGCCCCATTCATAGACTACATCCCAACCCAACAGAGATTYGCTTAAAGGTGGGCAAAGACGATGCATTTTGAACAGGATTTGTTGATGGCTGAAGACTGTAACCCAGCCTCAGCACAGMAAACAGCTGGTACTACACTGCTCACCTTTAATGAGACAATATTGGGAAGGTAATCTACAAACAGCTAACAAAGGTAAAAACTTCAGGGTTTACCGCATTAGGCTCTAAATTTCATTTAACAGACTGAGGGGCAAAGYCTAATCAATCTTTTTACACATGATCGTGAAGCACCATCTTTGAGTTTTGTTTTATTACAAAAAAACAGTGATTCCAACCCCTAAAATTATTTTGATTAGAAGACTATGCAGATTTTTTTTTAAATGTGAGTTAAATCAAACTGTTCACAGAAAATTTAAAAGCAGCTGTAATAAAAAAAACCTGACAGAAAACCAATTCCAAGATACTCAAGTTACAGACTTTTTCACAGTTCTGCCTTTGCCGCACCAAAATACAGTGGCAATTTCATGTAGTGCCTCTAGGCATAAGAATTCCTGATATAAATTCAACAATCAAGCAATTCAAGCAATTACACAATCTGATCTGTATTTCTTATTTTCTCACACATTTCTAATACAAGGTTGATTTCTATTTGCATTCTACAATTTTCTGTCTGCCAATTGCCAGACATTGTAAAATAAATATAAATTGTCTGAATGAACACCATCCAATTTCTAATGGACAGGTGTKCATATAAAAATTCAACAGTATCAGCGACAAGCTAGCAGTAACTGGTGGGGTGAAGGGTAGAAGGAGATAATTTGGCACTCAGCTGAACTTCGGGATGATCAAATGAAGTCAAGGTCAAGTATGTGACAGAGCAGCTGTGCCACACAGCAAATGACCACTGGTATATTGATATATATAGTAATAGAGTTTGGATTTGCTAAACCACCATTTCATGTATTGCAATTCCAGGCTGCTGCAGGAGAGAGGAAGTGGCTCCTGCACTGTCAGCCTTTATTGTGGGCWCCATAGACTCAGCTCCTCCACAGGCTGCTTGAAGCCCTGCAGCAGAGCAGACCCTTAGCACYCCCTGCATCGCTTCAGCAGCCCCACTCCTGTCTACAGGGAAAACTTTAACGCTGTCCAACATACGTAGCAACTAATAACCAACTCATCCTTCCCCCTCAGGATGAGAGATGTTTAACTCTCCCTGGCAGAATGAAATAATCGGACTGGTGGTGACATTCTTRTCCAGATACTTATTCTGAGATACTGCTCATTTAGGACTCTTATTACCTATTGCAAATAAATGCTTTCAACATACAATGGTTCTGGGACCTGTGGTGCTTTGGTTTAATAATATATGATTTTCTTGTTTCAGTGAATGAAAATAAATTGATTTATGGCAGTTAATGCACAGGTACTGAAAACAGCAGCTGTAGGTTTTTTGATACCCATCTGTCCTCCTCTTGCTCCATCTGTTTCCTTCACTCATTGCACTGGAATTCAGCTTCACAAAATGCAATCCAAACTCCTTCATGTAGCACAGTGTAAGTTACCTAGTTACCCAGCTGAAAGACATTTTCAAAATAAAACACTCTCCTTGTACTCTGTAGAAGACAGCAGACATGGATTTTGCAGTTAATATATGTCTGAGCAAYGTTTTCTTGAACAAAATATACAACTGTCAGTAAATATCTTCTGATTTCAGATGGTGCACTTCARAATAATACCATAAAGGCTCATCATKTTAAACAATTATTGATTACACCTTGGGGATTTTTCACCAATTCCACTTGATGCTGCTTTTAAAATGGTAAGTACCTACATAATTCTATGATTTATAGACTAGTTAGATTCTATGATTTATAGACTAGTTTTTATTAAACTGTGTTGACTGACTTTTTTTATTCTTCAACAGTTCTTTGGCCTGTTAATGATTAAAGATTTGGATTTCACTCTTTACACTAAATGTAAGTGTTTAACAGGAAAATAAAACCCCCCTTACAATCCAAAATGGAAGATACAATATAGAGTCTGAAATTAGTTTATTGAGAAATTTTGCATGCCACAAACACAAAAGGTACTACTAAAACCCATGTGCTCTACAGATACTATAAACAAAGGATACTTCCATTACTAACCCATCTTTAAGGCAGTGTGGTACGTGAGGTCAATCAAAARTCAAGAAAGRAGGTTGCTGTTGCTCTATAAAAGGGCTCACACTTTAAATACAAGTATCTCAGTATTCATGGTGTCTTTCATTTCTACACTAACATATCTTGAATACCTACATGCCTTAAATACTCTGGTTTATGCATTTACCACTTCATTATTGGCATCACATTAAAAKGGAATAGTTACATTTTATTTGCACTACAAAGATCTTCTAACTGATACGAAATTTGTACAGAATAGAATATTCAATACCATTAACCAGAATACAGTGCACAGGAACATGCGTTTAAACACACAACTTTGTGGTCAGGGTGATAAAACTCGGCCTTTTTTATTTTTTTTTTTTTATTCAGCACATTATTTTACTAAGAATTCAGTAACACAACTGCCTGAAAGAATTGTATTGTATCAAAAGTAATAAACTACCTAACCTCTTGAGATATAGAAGAAGTGTTTATAACATGAAGGAACTTCAAAATCCATAGCAAGAACTYAGATTGGAAATAAAATGTTTTTCCAGGATGAAAAATGGAAACAAATGCTGTTTGTTTAGCATTTTGTAAAACAGAACTTTGATATTATCCATTATCACGATATAGGTGACTAAAAAATGAGGATTGCAATTCTTTTTATCTTTATGCATATTTAAAAACATAAAAGCCAATTTTTCCTTTCTGTGGTAGAGTTTGCAGTACTTGCAGGTTTAAGCAAAAAACCCAACTTCTGGTATTACCCTACAGAAAAAGAATTTAAGTCTGTATACTTCCTGTGGTCCTTTAAAAAGCATTAATAATTAAGCATTTGCATAAAGCAAGAAAACTCTTACATGTGAAAACATGTATCTTTTAGACATCTGCGAGCTACGTATCTTGATCCGTTCCATAAATAGAAACTCATTACGGAGAGACTGAAAATAAGACAATGCCCTAGAAAATAAGAGATGATCTCTTTAAAACATACTCAAAATGGTGTGAGTAAATCTGTATCATACAGATTCAAATTTAACACATAGATCTTTTTTGGTCTAATCTTAGTCCTTTTACAAGCCACAGTTAAACTTCTCCGAATTCCATTGACAGCAGAATCAGCCTTGATGCATTTTTTCTCTAGTAGCATTTCCTGTCCTGCAGAGTATCAAAATTAACTGTGAATGGTAAAATTGTAAATGTCCTCGTGAAAAGAAGCATTCAATACTCTAAATTAATGCCTGAGCTCTGACTTTTAAGTGAAGACAGAGATCAGCAAGTCAGCTGCTGCTCATATTGCTTTCTCATTCATAATTGAAAAACCAGAGGCTTGGGGAGTCCTTAGCAACCGAATCCATTCCTTCCCAGGAATTTTATATAAGTTTTCTTTWAATATAAATTTATTTTCCTGCTTTTGTTATAAATATAACTTCAGAAACAAGTTTGATCCAAGGCTAAATTTCAATCCCCAAAAGTGACACAATATAGGGGTCAGCAATGMGGTTGAAATTTCAAATACGCTGAGTCAATCCTGCCAAGGTGGGTGTTAGGGCTTCTCAGTTTCAAAGGGTATCTCAGCTGATATATTTGGACAGTCACATTCCCCAGGGTAACTGCAGAAGTACATATCAAGCTGTTTCTTACAGCTAATAGCAACCCTTTATATATTGGCAAAAGGAGGCTGGCAAAAGACAAAAAAAAGAAGCCCCTTCAGCCACTCAGAGCTGGAGAGWACCATTAGAAAGATGCAACAGACCTGGTCAGGAAAGTTTTCTTTGGGAGCTGGGAGGAGAAGGTGGTTGGAGGGATCCACTGAAGTCAGCCAAGTTAAAAGTTGCATGCTGGATTTCACAAAATTAAGCACAACCATGGCCTTTATTTTTAGACATCTGTGCTAAAGAAAGGGAGCTTAAGATGCCTGAAATGATTGTTCTTCACAGGCRGAGTCACTCAGAAATCTGATCTGTATGATTGGAGACACTTGTAAACACTGATTCACCAACATACAGCACCGAGCTATAATTCACATCGTTTTAATACTGTACAGCAACCTGGCAGTCAAAACCATTTGAACAGTGTACAAAGTGACAATTTTGTCAAAGCTGGACTGCTTCACAAAATCATAATGGCAATGACAAGAAATACTTTTAGGTTTGCCTTAAACTACCATCTGTCCACAGAAAAAGGCAAAATACATTAATTTACATATAGCACTTTGCCAGGCGGGAGCAGCATTAAGCATTATTCTTTCCCCTACCCCTCWCCTTAAAAGGGACTATTCTAAATCCCTTCATTTTTGGCATATGCATTTTCTGTGACAAAATAAATTGGAGCAATTGAATACGTAACAGAGTGCACAAAAGCACAGCCTAGGGTGGAATACACAACCCAGTGCACAYGCTCTGTTTGCCATACACTGTTGACCTGAAGTGTAGCATATTTGCACAAATACAAGGAACCCTCAATGGCAGCAAGAGGCAGCACTTGCAGCCTAGATCAGCCTTAGTCCATGCCATCAGAGACCTATTTCACAACAGCTGGACATTAACCTAAATAGCATTTACCGAAGTTTCAAATAAATCACACATTCCTAGTCCTAACTTCCTGATTCACAGTGCAACAGCACTATCACTTTGGTCTACCACAAAGCATGGGCAAAATGAGTTAYGTAAATAGGTCTAAGTGGATGCACTGGGCATGGAAACAGATGATCATTTAAAGCAAAAGCTTTAAAATTAGATCACAGMAAGTGCATTTAATTATTTACAGCAGCAATTATTTAGTTTCCAACTACTCAACACTACAAGACCACAACCCAAAAATTTATCCTATGACTTTTCATTTGTAGACAGGTGTTAAACTCCAGGATTTTAACTTTCCATGGTTAACTGATCAGAATGCTTTTTATTCTTTCTTGGTTTTCAGAGTTTATTGTTAATGCAGAAAATVTGTATGATACTGAATGTTGAGAGGTCAGTGTCTAATAGATGGAACTTAATCTAAAATAGCAGGGCTTGTTGCAGTTTTTGGTATTATTCTAGTATTCMATGAACTAAAAACTTCACTTCAGAATCTTAGTTCACTGACATAAACTTCATTAACACAAAATTATGATTGTCTCTGGTGTTTCATGTTCTTCCAGCAGGCTGACTTCAAAAAAACACGAACTGTGCAGGGGGAGGGTGGCAAGAAGGAAACAAACTAAAACAATCTTAGCTTACATTACTGAAAGCAAAATTCCCTGTTCAAGTTCAAACTGAATGGCATCTTGGAGATGAAAATAGAACAGTAATCRCACAAAGCAAGTTACGTGAATGATGACTTGGGGAACCCAGCAAAGAAAAAGAGGAGAATCCTCAAGGCAGGAGATGCAACAAACCAACTGTCTGCATTACCTCAAGAAAAAATGGAATATGTTTACAAGTGTTCCCATAGCCTTTTGAAAGACAGGAAAATAAACTGGAAGGATTAAATAGGATTTATCAGTCATCAGAGGGACATGTCTTTTTTCTTTTCTCCTTTTACACCTTCTGCACCATCATGTTCAACATTATCAGTAGGACATTTTTTGCCTTCTCAAAGTTATGAACAGCAGTCAGTTGCCATAAGCATGGTAAAAGTTACTCRGCTGTGCCTGGTCTCTCTGCTACTGAATAATCTATCATAATCCATGTATTAAAGAATAAACCCAATGCAGTTTTCATGATGGCAACTTGAGGAGCTATACTAAAATTGCAGTTAATGATGTATGTATATGGTGGGGTTAGCCCTCTGTAGAGGGCCACAGGTCTGGCACAAACTTGCTCTTCAGCTGGCTAGGCAGACAAAACCACACTGCACTGATCTTCAGCTCAGTATAACGGTGATGCCTCCACTGCAAAGCAAAGAGGTGACATTTCACTGTACTCAAGTTTCATATCTCCTAGAAAGAAATAACATTTCCTTGGCTTATTTATAGAAGTTCAGAGGACACGGACATCCATACGTATAAAACAAGCATTGAATGTCGTTATATTTTACAGGAGAACTGCAAAACATGCAAGGCAGAACCACAGACAGGYCCAGTTCTCAGTAATGTCAAAGCTGCATATTCATCCATGGTAACCACTGGTGGTGCACTGAAATACACGGTGCTAATGCCCAGTCTGGTACTTTCCTTAGTGTGCCAAAGCAYGTATGGGTAACGCACAACCACCTGGTAACTCACATGGCAACTTTCCATCTCTTTTGGTTAGGCTAGTACAGGAACCTATTTCTATTCATTGGATTAATTCTTTGTCTGTTGACTTTGTCCCTTCCTTTCAGACACGGTACAGCTTTTGGCTGGGACACAGCTAGTTTTCTTTGTAGCAGTTTGTACGATGCTCTGTTTTGAATTTGTGGCCACAGCAGTGTTGACAGCATAAGGCCACCTCTGTATGTCAGAATTTAATATGTGGATAATTTTGACAATCAATTTTCACACACACAAAAAAAGTTTACAACCCAGAGGGCATATTTTTAAAGCTTAAAACAGGAGGTACATTCAATAATCCTTTTGATGAACAATAGGATAAATGTATACACCACTTACAAGTGGATTTCAAAAGGTTCCTTTTTCCATAGGAAACAGATGAAATTAAAAAAAAAAAAAAACCAACAAACCCTAGCAACATGTCAACCAGTGATTATT